TAACAAATACTTAAATCATTATATCGTGTATATTTTATCATATATTTATAATATACATATAGAAACAGTTTTTTTTATACTCTACAAATTTACTGTATCATTTTAGTCTGCCTAAATGATGATAAAAAAAAATTGTATAATATTTTAGTTAAATTTTATTAAAATAAACTATGTCACGATAAACAAATCATATTTCAGCACGTAATCAGAAAATAATCATACAAATATTCTATTAATATAATATATTGTATATACAAAATTACAGAACTTGAATTCTGACAACGAAAAAATAAAAAAATGCGTAAAATCAAATCGGTAAATCCACTTCATCGAACAACTGAAATACTTTATCAATAATTAAACAATTGTCATACTTCGTAACTTGTATATTTCTCTATTATCAGCAATTCGACATTTCTCATACATAATTAATCGTTTACATTTACTATAATTATAACTCATGATCTGTACAAAGATCACGATATCTTTTTAATTCTTTAACGATTGTATTTAACTTTCACGAGGAACCTTCGTTTTCAGTGGTAAATATTGCGTAGGCTGTATTTCTAGTGAAACATTCACCTTAACATTTGTGTATGTAATTGTAAAAACATTTATCGCAATTATACACCTATGTAATTGGAGTACAATCGGAGACGATGGATCCTCGTGTATTTGGCAAATTACAAATATACTTGTAATTAGGCTGCCTTTTCCTATCAGGACAAGTGCTGTCGTTTCGATTTTTCACGTACAATCGATGATTTATTCGTCGTTCAACTGTAGAGATTCAGTGTACAGTGTACAGAGTATCATGGAATTTGTTATGAATATAAATTCTAATTTTTACGATTCAATTTCGATCATTCAATTTACAAAATTCAGTTCTCCTAATTCAATTCTATAATCCAAGTTAAAGAAAACATACGATTTGAGCAGCGTGGAAAATTATTTCCTTCATTCCCCCTCTTCTTCTTCTTTCTCTTGTTTATTTTCTTCTCATATATTTTTGTAGTAATAATATTAGTAATAGTAATAGTATTAATTAGATCCTAACTCTGTGTATACTCACATATAATTTATCGACGTATCCCTCTAATCCTATTTCGAGCCTTTGAATGCTTATGCGCCATGTAAGGGCTGCATCAACAGTAAGAGTATCATTTATCAATTTTCTTTTTTCTCTTTTATATATGCATATATAATATGTAGTAGACTTCTTTTACGTATTATTTCACTATTGGCAGCGATATTGTGACCTTCGGCGCTTCAAAGTGCAATCAAAACGCTGTTCGATAAAAAATTGAAGACTGCTCTACGTTGAAGGCTGGTTGACCCTGAAACAACTTTGACTAGACATACATGGGAGTAGAAATTACTCGACCAATTATACAAGATGATTATATAAACGTTGAAAACACTCCTTGGTCCAGACCGAGAAATAAAACATTCGAAAAAATTTACTATGTATCGTAAAAGTAAAAATATGCACTTGTCGAAGATGCTTTGATCAATGGCAGTTTATAGCGATAAACGATTCCTATCATTCGTATGATCATCTTCGTCTGTCGAAATGCCCTTTATTTTTTATCATAACATCTCTAATAAAACGCGCAAAATACTCGGAAAAAGAAATCCTCGTAGTACCATTTTGCATAACAATGCTTTCTCCTCCCCTCCTCTCCCCTCCCCCTGTCCTATACCAATAACAATATGCTATCGATCGAAAAAGTACAGTCCTTCGATGATACTTTCCCCGATGTATGCTAGGCATTATTTTGGAGGGTATCAATTCCCTCCCGGATAGCCAAACGCAGCCTAACTACCCAGAACAGTCTAAATTAAATATTTTTATTTTCGATTTAGTTTTCTTTCTACAGTCAACATCTACTTCCGCACTTTGACCATCCGGGCTGGATACCTCTTGGAAAAAAGCTCTTTAAAATCTTCACCGTGCGCTTTCCCTCGACCAAGACCGACCGACCGACCGACC